TGAATTGTCGGAAAATTACTAGATATAGGGTAGTCTGGTATATATAAAAGGGTGACAACGTGACATAACAATGTGTGCGTAGGTAGTGAGTAATTGAACTGCGGTGAGGAAGTAATGTTGAAGTTAACGTTCGTTGTTAAAACGTTTGTAAAAGAGCGACTGTTGAAAATAAGTGTATCGGTAAAGTTATATTCAGGAAGAATAAATCAGTTTTGTTAAGTAAGGACTGTGTCGCTAAAGTTTCATCGGAACGAAGTTACGGAAAATCAATTAACAAACGGAGACGTAACAATATATAAATAGCGCTTGAGAGAACCTTTTGTCTCTTCGTCTTCGGCCCAATTGACAAATTCTGGTATTAATGAACGACAGTGACTTGTGGGAGACAGTAAATATGAAGTGCTGTTGTCAGGCCTCTTTGATTTTTAATCGGAAATGAACAAATGAAGCAGCATGTGTGAAAAAACAACAGGATGCGTTATAACCATGACTAACTAACACATGATGCTTGAATTTATGCCTAAACCAAATCGTGATTAAAAATATTTATTTGATTTGTAAGGAGGTGTTACCACAGTGGGGGTCACGTGACGAGTGTTCTAGAAGATTCGCTAGTGTGTTACGACAGAGGGGGTCACGTGACGAGTATTCTAGAAGATTCGCTATTGTGTTACTACAGCGGAAGTCAAGTGACGCTGGTAGCACGTGTTGAGAGTCTTAGAAGTTTCTAGAACAGGCAGTTTTATCGTATATAAGTGCGCTAGACGGAGGCAGAGACGAAGCAGGCAGAGAGAAAGAAAGACAGCGATTAAGGTCGGCGGGAACTGAGGATAACAGACACAGAGATCGGAACTATAGTTGGCGGGGACGGACAATTAAGTATAAGCGCGATACAAGTTTGTTTTTGTTTTTTGAAGTTAAGCACAAAGCTACACAATGGGCTATCTGTGCTCTGCCCACCACGGGTATCGAAACCCGGATTCTAGCGTTGTAAGTCCGCAGACATACCGCTGAGCTACTGGGGGGCACGCGATAGAAAGTGAGTGAATTGTTGTGAACTATAGTGTGTGTAACTGTGAAAATTAAGTGCATTACAAAGTTTTATTGAGGAAGAATAAACAAGTTTTATAAAGAAAGGACTTGTATCATAGAAGAATTAACAAACAAACATACAGATACGTAACAAATAAACCTATTGGTGATTAAAATATTTATTTGATTTGTAAGGAGGTTTAGTGTAATAACCTTGTTGAACTTTTAACACAATGTTTTAAGTACCCTCAAACGAGAATACAACAACACGAGACAAGTATTCGAGACTCAAATCGAGAGGAATTTTTACATTTCAGGCAATGCTGTGGGATGTTACTTTGGAAATGAAAAACTAAAAAATATAATGTCATGGTTGTACTTTCGCATTGCATTATGTTACGGTTATAGTTTTGGCATAAGACGCTATTTTTTCAAGCGCTAAATAAAATGTGAAAATGTATTCTAATTTTATAATTGTCCGTTAATTAGTTACGAAATGCTATTACGGTTTTACAAAATAAATGTTAACATTTAAGCTTCAAATTTTTAAGTAGTAAAGTTTTACACTGCGAATATAAGTAAAAATTTAAGTAAATATGAATAGGCTATCTGTGCTGTGCGCATTACGAGTATCAAAACCCGGTTTTTAGAGGCGTGAGCCTTCAGACTTACCGATAAGCC